TGCGTGTAAATGCTGCCACTTGTGTTTACACAAGCAACATACATGTGCATGTGTACACAAGTGCTGGCGTTTACATGGGCGTAGCCTAATATGGTGTATTTTGTAATGCATGTCTAAGGGCAAAAAATATGCTGAAGCAAGAGCTCCTGCAAGCCACAACAAAATGCATATTTTACTCTGTACAGCCATATACAGTATATTTGCATTGTACTTCTCCCTACCTGAGCCAAGACTGTTGCAGGCCCTTGTGGTAAAACATTGTATTGTGCAGGCTAGTGTGAACATTGTGTTACTTGTGCACGAGGAGTTGAAAACTGTGGTTAAAGCTTACGCTCACCACCCACTTTACAATCTCTCTGTACAATTTCTTTTAGAAAGTCCTCAAAATCAAAGTTGGTTGTACAATGATTATACAGTCAGATCGTAACGTATATGGTGACCTTTACAGCTGAACTCTAAGCAGGTACAGTATAACATAAGTCCATTAATCCATAGTAAATATATATATTTTTTTAAACAAACAGTATAAGTACCTGAATTTGACCTGGTATCAGCCTCTTGCAGTCCCTGTAGAGCAGTGGTGGAGCGGAGCCAATTAGTTTATGTGCTGCCAAGAAGCATGCTAATAAGAAAAGAAAGCAGAGCGACAGAGGACAACCTGAGCTCAGGGTTGAATAATGCTGACCACCAGACTGAGACTACTACTGCATTGCAGGAAGGTGGAGGTGAGTATTTCTGAGAGATTAGTTCAGGGGTGGACTGGCTGCCTTTTGACCCTGCTGCACCGACTCTGGGTTCCAAAACTGGCCATCAGGAGCCTGGGAGGCTTGGAGGAATGGCCCACCAGCCAAGTCCACCCCTGCTCCACACTCCTCTCCTGTACATATCGCCCCATGTCATACCCTCCACACTCCTCTTCTGTACATATCGCCCCATGTCATACCCTCCACACTCCTCTTCTGTACATATCGCCCCATGTCATACCCTACACTCCTCTTCTGTACATACTGCCCCATGTCATACCCCACACTCCCTCTTCTGTACATACTGCCCCATGTCATACCCCACACTCCTCTTCTGTACATACTGCCTCATGTCATACCCCACACTCCTCTTCTGTACATACTGCCTCATGTCATACCCCACACTCCTCTTCTGTACACACTGCCCCATGTCCTACCCTCCACACTCCTCTTCTGTACAAACTGCCTCATGTCATACCCCACACTCCTCTTCTGTACATACTACCTCATGTCATACCCCACAATCCCCTTCTGTACATACTGCCCCATGTCATACCCCACACTCCTCTTCTGTACATACTGCCTCATGTCATACTCCACAGTGCTCTTCTGTACATACTGCCTCATATCATACCCCACACTCCTGTTCTGTACATACTGTCCCATGTCATACCCCACACTCCTCTTCTGTACATACCGCCCCATGTCATACCCTCCACACTCTTCTCCTGTACATAACACCCCCATATCATACCCCCACCATCCCCTGTACATACCACCACATGTCATACCCTCTACACTGCTCTCCTGTACATAACACCTCAGTCATACTCTCACACTCCATTCTGCCCCTCTTCTCAGTAGTAATACAGCCCACTCTTTCCCACCTCCCCTGTATGTCCTCTTCCTCCTCCTGTCCCATCATCCCTATCCCCTTTGTTATATGTTGATGTCATTTTAATTCATTGTTACTTTGTTTCCCATCCCTGGCTGATATTACTCAGACACACATCTCCCCATTGGAGGACAATCAGGCAAGATAGGGAAAACGAACATTGTTGCCACATGAAGCACAGTTTCTGCTATTTGAGGGGAAAAAGTCAGCCAGCTGACAGTGCACAGTGACCGGGGAGAAGATAAGGTGGACAGCGATGGTGCTCAGTATGTACTGGGGGGGCTTTGAACCGTCACTGTTCAATTCTTTGTCTTCACGCTCCAATACCTGGAAACATTGCTGCTTATATCCCGCACTCCTTCCCGCTCCTGTAAGCTTCAGGGTGACCTGCTGCGAAAGCTGTGTGCCCTTTTTACAAGGCATCAGGGCAGCCCAGGGACTAATTGTCCACCTGCCCAGTCCACCCCTGGCTTAGTTCTGGCTGGTTGATCTTATTGCTAACTTCCTGTATATCTCTTTGTGGGTTTGTATTAAGAGTCACCCAACAAAGTTCCCCAGTCTACTGCCACCCACCTAAAATAGATTAAAAATCCATGATGTGGTGTGAAATCCAACTTGCTTTTTGCTTCAACTCAATACCAGCATCCTTTAAAGGCCATTTTCAGGGCTATGATAATTTCACTGACAATTATTCATAGTTATTCATGCAACACTATATCCAAATACATTTTATATAATTTTTTTGCACTGGTAGAGCATTTAATAACTGCTATTTTTTTTTTAATTACTGCTAAATAAATGAAAAAGGTCAAAACATTTTGAACCCTTTTTTTCATGCCAAATTGCCACAATTTTTTGGAAATAAAGAAACATGATGGTACTGTGGGAGTTATAGAGCACTTTAAAAGTTGCTAAGTGCAAATCCATTGTTATTTGTGAAAGAAAATTATCTGGAGGATGAAATTGCATAGAGTTGGAAATGTACTTTCTGCATTTGCTAAATGTCATGGAGAAATTCAAAACACTTGAAACGCCCCCAAAACAATTCCACAGTTATTTGAGTTCAACAACACTTGAAACTTCCCCCCTTCCCCTAAAAGAATCCTGTGACATTTGTGGTCAATAGTGTTTTAAAACCCAATCAACACAATCCCACAGTGGCATTTTAAAACTCCTCACCCTCCATAACTGGTGGATGCTGGTCTTTGCGAGAGGGAATACTGACATGATTCAACATGTACAGTATTTTTCATGGTCTTTAAAGGGATAGATTGGGAGCAATTTGAATATATTTCAGAAATGTACTACATATATTTTTTTACATTTTGCAATAAGATAATACTCACCACTAACCAAACAGGGAGTACAAACCTCTTCTCTTTTCTATATTTTTTTAATTATTATTATCCCGACAATTCTTATCTCTCAACTGACAAATCTAGTATTAAATAGTCACATTCAACTGAACTTATTCTGTAATATAAAAGTTGTTTTGTAGCTTACCAAGCCACTTCTTCAGTTTCTTAGTGTCAGGAAGATGCCCCAGCATTTATATCCACACCTAGGACACCTTAAAGTGGTTGTAAAGGCTGAAGGTTTTTTACCTTCATGCATTCTAAACATGAAGGTAAAAAACTTTGTGTGTGCGCAGCAGCTCCCCCAGCCCCCTCAATACTTACCTGAGCTTCAATGCGATCCAGCGATGTGAATGACAGCCTCGGCTGTCCCAGGTTTCTGCCTCCTCATTGGCTGAGACAGGAAGCTGAAGCCATTGGCTCCCACTGCTGTCAATCACAGCGAGTCAGCCAATGAGGAGAGAGAGGATGTGGGGCCAAGCCACAGCTCCATGTGTGAATGGACACATGGAGCAGTGGGCGCCCCCATAGCAAGTTGCTTGCTGTGGGGGCACCCAATAGAAAGGAGGAGCCAGAAGAGCCTGCGGGGGACCTGAGAAAAGAAGGATCTGGGCTGCTCTGAGCAAAACCACTGCACACAGTAGCAAGTATAACATGATTGTTATTTTACACAAAAAAAAAAAAAAAAAATTAACCTTTAGAATCACTTTAACCCATTCACTATAAGGTCAAGCAAAAATACAGGACTATCAAACAGAGCGGAGGAGTAAAACACACAGTGGTTGGAGTGTGTTACCAATTGTTTTCTTGGTGACTGCGGTCCCAGCTGCCTGGAGATCATTGATAAGATCCTCACGTGTAGTTCTGGGATGATTCCTCACTGTTCTCATGTATTGACACTCCGCGAGGTAAGATCGTGCATGGTGTACCAGACCTAGGGAGACTGACAGTTCTTTTGTGTTTCTTACATTTGCGAATGATTGCACCAACTATTGTCACCTTCTCACCAAGCTGCTTGGCGATAGGTTGGTAGCCCAGTCCAGCCTTGTGTAGGTCTACAATCTTGTCCCTGACATCCTTGGACAGCTCTTTATGCAGGCCATAGACGGGGAGAAAAACGGCAGATTTTTCTTTTAAAAAACGAAAAATCGGTCGTTCAAGCGGCCGACGTTACCATCAATGGTAAAAAAAAAAATCGGCCGATTTTCATCCCATCTACATCCGGCAAAAAGTGTCCCTGCAGAGAACTCCGCTATTTCTGACAGTTCTTTGACAGTTCCTTGACATTTACAGCGGCTGCAACATTGTATCTATTTGTTTCCATTTAGGATACAGATGTTTTTATTTGGAAACAAATAGATACAATGTTGCAACCGCTGTAAATGTCAAAGAACTGTCAAAGAACTGTCAGAAATAGCGGAGCTCTCTGCAGGGACACTTTTTGCTGTACTGGAATTCCTCTTATTTTTCATTCCTCCTCCTCCATCATCCTCCTCCTCCTCCATCATCCTCCTCCTCCTCCTCCTCATCATCCTCCTCCTCTCCTCCTCCTCCACCATCCTCCTCCTCCTCCTCCTCCTCCTACCCCTCCTCCTCCACCACCATCATCCTCCTCCTCCTCCTCCTCCACCACCATCATCCTCCCTCCTCCTCCTCCTCCTCCACCACCACCATCATCCTCCTCCTCCTCCACCACCATCATCCTCCTCCTCCTCCTCCTCCACCACCATCCTCCTCCTCCTCTCCTCCTCCACCACCACCATCATCCTCCTCCTCCTCCACCATCATCATCCTCCTCCTCCTCCACCACCATCATCATCCTCCTCCTCCTCCACCACCATCATCCTCCTCTGCCACCATCCTCCTCCTCCTCCACCACCACCATCATCATCCTCCTCCTCCTCCTCCTCCACCACCCATCATCCTCCTCCTCCACCACCATCATCATCCTCCTCCTCCTCCTCTTCAACCACCATCATCCTCCCTCCTCCTCCTCTTCAACCACCATCATCATCATCCTCCTCTCTTCCAACCTCATCATCATCCTCCTCCCTCCTACTCTTCTTCTTCTTCAACCACCATCATCCTCCTCCTCCTCCTCTTCTTCTTCAACCACCATCATCCTCCTCCTCCTCCTCCTCTTCTTCTTCAACCACCATCATCATCATCCTCCTCCTCTTCTTCAACCACCATCATCATCCCTCCTCCTCTTCTTCTTCAACCACCATCATCATCCTCCTCCTCCTCCTCTTCTTCTTCAACCACCATCATCATCCTCCTCCTCCTCCTCTTCTTCTTCAACCACCATCATCATCCTCCTCCTCTTCTTCTTCCCCACCATCATCATCCTCTTCTTCTTCATCATCCATCATCATCATCATCCTCTTGCAGGTCACTGCTCATGCGCAGATTTTTTATCGGTAAAAAATCGGCCCGATTTGCCCATCATTGCCGCGAAAATCGGCCGATCGGCAAAATCGGCCGATTTTTTTTCCAACTTTACTGATAAAAAAAAACGGGCCAAAATACCGAAAAATGGCCGAACAAATAGCCCACTAACGATCCAAAAATCGGCCGATTTTATTTTCGGCCGAAAAATCGGCCGATTTTCGATCCATCTATGGCCTACATTAGTCTTTGCCATGGTGGAGAGTTTGGAATCTGATTGTTTGATTGCTCCTGTGGACAGGTGTCTTTTATACAGGTAACAAAATGAGATTAGCAGCACTCCCTTTTAATTTTAGACTGCTTCTAATCTCTAAGCTTGTTACCTATATGAAAGACACCTGGTAGCCAGAAATCCTGCTGAGTGATAGGGGATCAAATACTTATTTCCCTCATGAACATGCAAATCAGTGCATAATTTGTTAGACATGCATTTCTTTTGAATTTTTTTGTTGCTATTCTGTCTCTCAGTGTTACAATACATCTACCATTTGATTTTTAGAATGATCATTTCTTTGTGAGTGGGCAAACATTCAAAATCAGCAGGGGATCAAATACTTATTTCCTTCACTGTAGTGTAGTATGTCCTCAATGCATTAAATGTGCTAAATCTCTCAGAATATAGTGTATTCCGAATATTGTGCTCTTCAACAATCACCATTAATAATATATACTCTTACCCTCCTCCACAAATTTCATGCAAAACATCAATGTAAGTGTCTTCTCCATTAATCCCACATGTGTCAGTGACCATCAACCTTCGATATCACACCACCAATAGTGCCCCACCTTTCCCCTTCAGGTCATGCACCTTACCCTGTATACATCGAATATATACCTTCTTAATTTCCATGCCTTGGTAAAAATTCTCCACTCTGACTTCTTGTAACTTCCATGCTCACAACATGTGTATTAAAAACAAATATCCATAGTGCAGCAGTACATCAAAAATGCTCCTTTATTGAAGGATACTTCCAGTTTACGTCTGATGTCACTTCCTGCTGACAATTTTCGTCACATTGACTTCCTCATAGGAAGGTTCATGGCCTATGAGGAAGTCAATGTGACGAAACGCATCAGTAGGAAGTGACATCAGATGCAAACTGGAAGTGGGGGAGTGGGTGGGGACTGGTCTATTCATAACATGCAACATATTACATCCTGAATATGGGTGTAACATGTTATGAAAGGTGAACTTATCCTTTAAGGTAAATCTATTATGCTTTTGAAGCAGTTGCAGCATTCAATTCAGTAATTATTAGAAAATCTTTATTGGCTAGTTTACTGTACACTACGGTTGCTCTCTGAAGAGTGATTCCCATCCAGATCACTCTTCAGAGAGCATTTCACAGGCAGTGAGGAGATCTCTAATCCCAGAGGATGCCAGTTTTGGGGAACCGCGTCAGACGGAGTCTTTGTGTGATGTATTGCATATTGCTGTACACTGCCTGTTTTATTCACCTGATTGTAAGTGCAATATATTTTAATAAATAGCTGTTTTTTACTTATACTGCACTATGAGGCTTCTCTTTGTTTAATCCTTCTATACTAGTGGTACTGGAAACTAGAGTGGAATCTCGGTGGGACGGCAAACTCAGTGAATGCAGACATTTTTCTGGTGGTTTGTCAAAAAGAGTGCCAGTCTTGGGTTATGACCCATATGTTTAATTGATCTCTATGGCTTGAGATCATCTCGTTTTGGAAAGAGGTTTTGCAGTACAGAGCACTTTTTTTCTTCACGATTGATTCTGGGACTTTTATTTATTTATATTTTGTCTATGAATTTTTTAACCACTAGGGGACCGCACACAGTACATATACTGCATCCTGTTTACTTGATAGGAGGCACGTGCAAGGCACTAGACCGCTCTACCTGCAGCACCGATCGCAGCCGCGGGTGTCAATCACCGGGTCCTGGCGATTGCCAGAAAAACACTGACAGGGTGCACAGCTGCATTATTTTCAATGCAGCTCTCCTCCCTGTCAGTCTCCAGCACACTGTCCCCGAGAGCAGAGCTTAGCTTTCCAGGACAGTGTGTAACAGTGAAGAACACACCCCCGCCCCCTAGTAAAACACTCTCTTCACACAGTTAACCCTTTGATTACCTAAAAATGTTAACCCCTTCCTCCCCAGTGCCATTAGTACAGTGTCAGTGTGTTTTTTTTTTGCACTGATCACTGTATTGGTGTCACTGGGGATGTAAGTGACCCCAAGTCAGTTCCCCCCGTGTCAGAATGTCTGCCACAGTCCCGCCATAAGTTGCTGATTGCCGCCATAAATCGCTGATTGCCGCTATTATTAGTATATTAAAAAAAAATCCAGCATCTATACTGCCATTTGCGCACGCTATAACTTTCACATAAACCAATTTATTTACACGTGTTGGGATTTTTTTTTTTTTAGCAAAGACATGTCAAAGAATACATTGTGGCCTAAATTTATGACAAAATTAGATTTTTACATTTTTTTACTGGACATGTTTTATAGCAAAAAAGTCCAAAATATTGTTTTTTTTTTCTCAAATTTGTCGGTCTTTTTATAGCGCAAAAAATAAAAAACACACAGGTGATCAAATACCATCGAAAAGAGAGCTCAATTCGTGGGGAAAAAATACGTAAATTTAATTTTGATGCAGCGTTGCATGACCGCGCAATTTCCAGTAACGCAGCGCCGTAACTCAAACCGCTTCTGTATTAAGGAATTGTTCATGTATTTATGGATTAATTTAAATATTTTTTTTGTTTACATTGAAGTTATATATATCAGTTTGTGGGCACACTTATGTGGATATGTAGCATTGATTTGTTCACATTTGTTATCTTTGGAGGGACAGTGCACTGGAGTGGGACTCCCTCAATGGATTGAGAGTGAGGAGGTATTGTATTGTCTCCTCCCAACCTATTTTAAACACTTAAAAACCACACAATAGCAGTTGAATGGGTTGTGTTCAGCGGACAGAATTGCTCAAGATCGCAACAGTATGTGGAATTGTTGCCACACAAAAAGCATTGTGTTCATGGCATATGTCCACAGCATACCTTTTGCTGCACAAAAAAGCAATGTGCTCATGGCATCAGCAGGAGTGATTGAGGGAGGGTAGGGGTTGAGGGAGGGAAGGAGTGAAAACACATAGCTGAGCTTTGCATTTTTATCACCCCCAAACACAAGTGTCAATATGGCCCAAAAATGTACAGTAAGACACAAGTACAATGCAGCCATGCCCATGAATGATACAGCCATAGCACCTGTTGTGTGATCATTATGATAATTGACAATCAATTTTATCATGATAATGATCACTGATAATCATCATCATCATAAGGAAGATCACACAGTACAGGTGCTTGTGACTGGCTCCTGTCTGTATCATCATGTACAGTCTGCATTTATCACTTACCTGAAAAACGTGCTGTGCAGCCTCAACCTGTGGTGCCTCTGTGCATCTGTTGCCTGGATTCCTGGCCATTCCCTCCGCCCGGCTGATCCCTCCCAGACAAACCATCAAAGTCACCACTGCTGGCCGGCTGCAGCATCGCCCTCTGTCCTCAAGACTTACTAAGGCAGGAGCAGCTAGTTCTATCACTCCACTAGGTACTAACAGGCTGTGGTAGAGTTGCCACCTCATCCCTTTTAAAACCGAACACATATTGATTACACAGGTTCTGTGGCTGATTGAGGTGGTAATTACACTCACTTAGTGTCTTATCTGCATTAATTTAGCCTCAGATCTGTATAATTAATATGTGTTTGGTTTTAAAGGGATGAGGTTGCAACACAAACACAGCAGGAACAACTTTAGCAGCAGTGCAACGGTGAGGCATTACAAAGTGTCTGCACTTTTCAGCGGCCTTGATGTGAGCTCGCTCTCTGTCATCCAGTGCCCCCCCCCCAAAATGTTACACCTGGAGTGTTTGCACCAGCTTCCCCCCCCCCCACCCGCTCTATGTCACTGCTCTGACCTGTCAGTATACAGTTGGAAGAAAAAGTATGTGAACCACTTGGGATTACGTGGAGTTTTGCATGAATTGGGCATAAAATGTGCTCTGAACGTCACAACAATAGAAGAACACAGTCTGCTGAACATAATACTATACAAACATTAGATGTTGCCATGGTTTAATTGCACATAACGTAAACATTCACAGTGCAGGGAGGAAAAAGTATGTGAGGCCCTAGCTTAATGACTTCTCTCAGAGCTAATTGGAGCCAGGAGTGAGCCAACCTTGACTCCAATCAGTGTGATGATATTGGATGTGTTGCTGACAGCTGTCCTGCCCTTAAAAAAACACACACCTGTTTTGGGTTTACTGGTTTCAAGAAGCACTGTCTGATGTGAACCATGCATCGCAGAAAAGAGCTCTCAGAAGACCTACGATCGAGAATTGTTGACCTGCATGAAGCTGGAAAGGGTTACAAAAGTATCTCCAAAAGCCTTGATGTTCATGTGTCCACGGTAAGACAGACTGTCTACAAATGGAGAAATTTTAGCACTGTTGCTACTCTCCCTAGGCGTGGTCGTCCTGTAAAAATGACTGCAAGAGCACAGCGCAGAATGCTGCATGAGGTAAAGAGGAATCCCAGAGTGTCAGCTAAAGACCTACAGAAATCTCTGGCACATGCTAACATTTTTGTTGACACATCTACAATAAGGAAAACATTAAACAAGAATGGAGTACATGGGAGGACACCACGGAGGAAGCCATTGCTGTCCAAAAAGAATATTGCAGCAAGTTTGAAGTTTGCAAAAGAGCACCTGGATGTTCCACAGCACTACTGGCAAAATATACTGTGGACAGATGATATCAGGAATGGACTAGCCAGCAATGGTGGGACTCACCTGCCTTTTGATCTGCAGTACCAGGGCTGGCCAGCGGATGCTCCCAGCAATCAGAGACTCAACTTTGCAGCCAGCTAACACCTGGAACTGATTATGCTGGGGTATTTAAGGGATGGCCAGACTTGCAGACTCTGCCTTGGTGTTGTGTTTCTCTTGGGCCCTGTATCCTGTTCCTGCTCTCTGTTCCTGTCTGATTCTCTGCTACCTGTTCTGATCCCTGGCTTGTCTGACCATCCCTCTGCCTGACCCTCTGTACTACGCTGCCTGCTACCTGTTCTGATCCCTGGCTTGTGACCCTGACCATCCCTCTGCCTGACCCTCTGTACTACGCTGCTAGCTACCTGCTGAACCTGGCCTGTGACCCCGACCAATCTCCGCTTGCTCCCCCTGTACCTACCTGCCCAATTGATATTGACCCGGCCTGCCTGACGACGCTTGCTTGTATGTACTGTTATCTGTGGGTGGTTGGTTTGGTTTGTTTGCACTGTATTATGTTTAGTATTGCACTGCGTTTATGTTTGTATTGTTAGTGTTAATAAATTATATTGTTTATCACATATCTGAAGTCTGCGTTTCCCTGCGTCAGTCACACACCTCTGGTCACACCTGGGAGCCCTGACAGATGAAACCAAAATTGAGTTGTTTGGGAAGAACACACAACACTATGTGTGGAGAAAAAAAGGCACAGCACACCAACATCAAAACCTCATCCCTACTGTAAAACATGGCGGAGGGAGAATCATGGTTTGGGGCTGCTTTGCTGCCTCAGGGCCTGGACGGATTGTTGTCATTGATGGGAAAATGAATTCCAGCGTTTATCAAGACATTTTGCAGGAAAACGCACGACCATCTGTCTGCCAACTGAAGCCCCGTAGAGGATGGGTGATGCAACAGGACAATGACCCAAAGCATACAAGTAATTCAACAAAACAATGGCTGCAACAGCACAGAATACGCCTTCTGGAGTGGCCCAGTCAGAGTCCTGACCTCAACCTGATTGAAATGCTGTGGCATGACCTTAAGAGAGCGATTCACACCAGACATCCCAAGAATATTGCTACACTGAAACAGTTTTGTGAAGAGGAGTGGTCCAAAATTACTCCAGATCGTTGTGCAGGTCTGATCTGCAGCTACAGGAAACGTTTGGTTGAGGTTATTGCTGCCAAAGGAGGGTCAACCAGTTAAGTCCAAAGGTTCACATACTTTTTCCTCCCTGCGCTGTGAATGTTTACATGTTATGTGCAATTAAACCATGGCAACATCTAATGTTTGTGTAGTATTATGTTCAGCAGACTGTGTTCTTCTATTAAAAAAAACTAAAAATTCTTCCTGCGCCAAGTGAAAACACCCTACTACAGGATCTATCCTGCTGCTGTGCAATGTGGTAAACACAAAATGTGATAAATATAAATAAACAGCGCAAACATAGACCTCTATATCAAATCAATATAAAAAGTGCAAACATATATAGAAAATTATATTAATAGTGAAGTCCATCATGATTAATAAACAACAAAAGTTCAGAAATCTCAAAAATATTTTGTGCAAAAAGAAATTTTCAAATTCTTCTTCTAATATGAAGAAAAAACTTCCACCTTCCACCCGTGAAAACCAACATCAAATGCACTCACCAGATTTAGGTGAGTGAAACGCCTTTTAGGAATTTTTATGGGATCCTAAACCCTCTTTCGTATCCACTCTGAAGGTGAGGATTCCTATAGAGTGGATACGAAAGAGGGTTTAGGATCCCATAAAAATTCCTAAAAGGCGTTTCACTCACCTAAATCTGGTGAGTGCATTTGATGTTGGTTTTCACGGGTGGAAGGTGGAAGTTTTTTCTTTATATTAGAAGAAGAATTTGAAAATTTCTTTTTGCACAAAATATTTTTGAGATTTCTGAACTTTTGTTGTTTATTAATCATGATGGACTTCACTATTAATATAATTTTCTATATATGTGTTCTTCTATTGTTGCGACTTAGATGACATTCAGAGCACATTTTATGCCCAATTCATGCAAAACTCCACGTAATCCCAAGGGGTTCACATACTTTTTCTTGCAATTGTATTTGCTTGTACATCTCATACGGGCAAGCAGATACTGACTGGAAGATTCATTGAACTACCATGGTGCTCCACAGCAACGCAATAGTTAATTGAGAACTACAAGCCCACAGCCACAAAGGCTGTCCAAACTTGTAGTGTTCTCATTCACAGTACACTGCGAATGAGTGACATGGCCAAGTGGGCGGAGCCTTGCTTGGCTGCAGTTTTTTTAAATTGTGACAGCTAGCAGGGGAGAGAACATCCCCCACTAGCTGTCACAATCGGGGGTTGGTCAGATTGTATCATGTTACAACCTGAATATGGGTGTAACATGTTACGAAAGGTGAACTTATCCTTTAAGGTGTTCTAAGGTATAAATAAAAAATCTTCCAAACACGCTTGGAACTAACAAAGTGGCTTAGTAGTCTTCAGCTTCAAAATTACAGAACAAGCCTAGCTGAATGTAACCAACTACTCCAGTAGCAAAATGAAACAATTACTCCTACGCATAGGTGTGATAGACTAGGGTGGATAGACGGGATCCCATACAAACCCACATCCAGGGATATTGAGGCCTTGCTGCCCTCCTACGACCGGGGAAGTCTGACAATACTGCAAAAAATTAAAAAAAAAAAAAGAGAAAAAGGGCGCACCAGCATAGTGCATTATCCCCTGGGTTTATTGGCTGTATACATAGCTAAAAACCTACTCACAAACATAAGTAATATATAATATAATAAATTCATCACTTGTGGCTCAGAGGACGCTTCTCCTTGCGTTGGTCCACTTGGGTCTTCTCATCCTCTGAGCCACAAGTGATGAATTTACGTGCCATATATTACTTATGTTTGTGAGTAAGTTTTTAGCTTTGTATACAACCAATTAACCCACGGGGATAATGTACTATGCTGGTGCGTCCTTTTTCTCTTTTGTAATCCACTACTACCATGACTCAGATAAAAGAAAACCCTTCATGGACATATCTCCTGACAAGTTGCATATCGTATTTCAACTCAGATAAATGTTTTCTAAACAATTAAATTACTTATCTGGTGATCGTTAGCTTGTTAAAGCTTAACTTAAGCCATAGTATTATTGCTTAGTATAGTGGTGGAAAGGTTAGACTCTCTGGGGTTGATTTACTAAAGGCAAATAGTCTGTGCAGTTGTTCTAGATCTGAGGGGAAGCTCTGCTGATTTCTATCATACAATGATGTGCCAGCAAAAATGCTGTTTTTCTATTTTCTTGCATGTGATTGGGTATTCTTTGCAAAGTGAAGCTTTACCTCATTTACTAAGCTCTGGAGCAAGGGCACAATATACAGTATTTGCCTTTAGTTAATCAACCCCTCCGTGTGTTTTTATTTCTGTGTCTGAAAAGATTGCACTTCAATTCTTGTCCCAGAGACGGGGTTGAAGTAATAACGTACTCATGAAAACCCTTTGGGAAGAGAGACAGAAAAAAGAGGGAAGAGATTATAGCCGGTTATACAGTGTCAGATTTTTTTATTGTTTAAAGCGGAGTTCCAGCTGAAAAAAAATAAATAAAAGTCAGCAGCTACAAAAACCGTAGCTGCTGACTTTTAAAATACAGCCACTTACCTGTCCCTCGGTCCAGCGGTGTCCTCACCACTGCTGGTTTCACCGGCAAGCTTCGTTCCCTGGCGCCGGCATTTTTAGTGTGGGCACCCGGCTGTGACAGTTTGCGGCTTCACAGCCGGGTGCCAACTGCACATGCATGAGAAGTGCTGCAGTTTGTGAATGGCCCTGTAGTCTTCTGGGACCTGTCAAGTGTCCCAGAAGACTACGGGGAGGGAGGGGGGAGGACAACTTCCGCTTTCGATTGCCTGGGTGACCGCAGCGGAAGTTGGAGCCTGTACATGTCAATTTCGGGTACCCGCACCCCCCTGCTCCCCAAAGGTGCCAATCCTTAATGAGGAGCAGCGGACAAAGCATTAAAGCGGAACTTCCCCTTTCAGGTGGAGCTCCGCTTTAAGTGGCTATCAGACTCTTTAAATATAGAACATCCTGGTTCATCTGTACCTCCTCATACTAGTTTGGGATCTCTTAAAGGTCAAAACCCCCTTCCTGGTACAGTCCTTACTTTAGGATGCTTAATATGGATATTCCTGATAAACTTTTCACTTCTTCACAATGATTTTCTGAGCAGTATGTGTTTTAGAAGCAAAACCATAGTCCCAGGGATTTCTTGCCTGAATACAATACTGACTGCTCCTATTGAATATGCCTCAATGTTTAACCACTAGCCTACAGGGCACTTATACCCCTTCCTGCCCAGGCCAATTTCCAGCTTTCACCGCTGTTGCACTTTGAATGACAATTGCGCGGTCATGCAACACTGTACCCATATGAAATTTTTATCATTTTTTTGTGACAGATAGAGCTTTATTTTGGTGGTATATAATCACCTCTGGGTTTTTATTTTTTCTTAAACAAACCAAAAACCACTGAAAAAAAGTTTTTTCTTAGTTTTTGTTATAATAAAATTTTGTAAATAAGTTATTTTTCTCCTTCACTGATGTGCGCTAATGAGGCTGCAGTGATGGGCACTGATGAGGAGGCACTGGTAGGTGGCACTGATGGGCATTGACAGACTTCACTGATGGGCACTGAAAGGCAGTACTCATACATGGTACTGATAGGCGGCACTGTTAGGCAGCACTGATAGGTGGCACTGAAAGGCAGTTCAGATGGGCACTGGCAGGTGGCATGGATGAGCACTGACAGCTGGCACTGATGGACACTGACAGGTGGCACTGCTGAGGCTACACAGATCATCAGGGCACACTGATCATCAGTGCCCTGATGATCAGTGTAGATGTCCCCTCTGAGGGATACCGATTACTGGCTCTCCTCTCGAGCTCGTGAGGAGAGAAATGCAGCGAACAGGCATTTACCTATTTACATGTGATCAGCTGTGATTGGACACAGCTGATCACATGACCGAGCCGACATCTTCGGCTCTTTCCATTGATCGGTGATCCGCTGTGCGAGGGTCACAGCGCACCGCAGATTGCTGCGCGCTCCCGGAGTGGCGCATGCGCGGATAGAATGGGAGGACGTCATATGACGTCCTCCCAGAACGAGAGAACTGCCTTGTGCCTGTCATTGTACTATATGGCGGGCAGGAGGTGGTTAAAGTGATATTAAAAGCAATTTTTTTTTTTTAAATAGCAAATATGTTATACTTACCTGCTCTGTGCGGTGGGTTTGCACAGAGCAACCCCGATCCACCTCTTCTTGGGTCCTCCGCTGGCGCTCCTGGTCCCTCCCTCCTTCCAAGTGCCCTCTGAGCAAACATCTTGTTATGGGGCACCCAAGAAGGCTCACTTTAGTTTTTTTCTAAAAGATTTCAGTTTGTTTTTCATTTGAGTTGTGCAGTTTATAGGTCTCATTAAAGGTGGAAAAAAGTTCTGAAATTATTTATCTTTGTCTAATTTTTTTTTACATCACAGAAACCTGACATTTTAACAGGAGTGTGTATACTTTTTATATCCACTGTATCTCTGCCTCTTTCCTTTCAAACATTGTTATTTTTGCATCCTTACAGTATGTTTGATTGCATTACATCAGAAGAGATTTCACTTCACTGCTTGGATGTGGTTTGGCTTGTTTATCTTGCAGTCACTGCTTCTGTTAGAATGAATGATTCTCTCTTTGGCGTTCCTGCTCCTCATCATCCACCATTTCTTAGTGGCTCAGACAAATTATTGTCTAGGCTTGTGGCATTAATGATAAGGTTCCACCCTTTCCTATTAAAGTGCATTCTACCAGATCACTAAATGCTTTTTGGGCTTTCACCCATCAGGCAACTGTTTTCCAGATTTGTAAGGCCACCACCTGGTTTTCTGTTCAAAATGCCAGCTTCAAGCATAAGGTCCTTCATCCCTCATGTATTGTTATGCTTTCATGAACTTGTTAGCATTGATGTTGCTCACCACCTCATTTGAATGTCCTTCAATTGAATGATTTTTTTTTATGTCCCATTTGTCTCAAATTTTTGCTGATTCTATGTCACATAACAATAATACAAACAGCATTTTTGGAATTACAATAAAATCAAATTCTTGGAGTTCAATAAGGGACACAGGTCCCATCACACAAGCATTTTTGTTGTTTCTTACTACTAGCTATCTAAAACCTGAGGCATAAAAAGAAACTCAACTATATCATGGTTAACGACAAACTCACATGTATCTTACAGAATAATTCAAAGAAATTCGATACCACATGGGTAGATACCACTTCTCTGTGTTTTAATGACCCTCATCTTGATTTTCCTTTCTATTCTATTCTTTGCTCTTTCTACTCCTATTATATTGCTCTATATTATGTTTATTGTGCTGGCAAGACGAGCTGTACTTGACTATGTATTGGCCACCATTTATGTCTTGACTTCACTACTATTTGTTATGGCAAAATTAGTTTTTTTGGTGTTTCTGTCTGTGTATATGATGGCACACTCTTTATTGATGTTAAATGTTTAATTCTGCCCTATTTCCTTTATAAAATTATTCAATAAAAACGATTGAAAAGCAAAACCTGAGGCATGTTGGGAGTGGAAGGGGTTATGCCTGACTATCAACTTTTTTATTTTTTGCCAGTTTCCAATGCCTCCTGAAAGAGGCAGTATAACTCATCCGTCTATATTTTTATTTATCCTGCATTTCTTAATGAACGTCAAGAAATAGATTTTACAGTAAGTATAATACACCCGTTTGTTTTTAGGTTGAAAAGGGAAATGCTAGAACCCGTCAGTATTTTATGGTTGTCTATTTCCCTGATGCTGATTATCCCTCCATTCCCATCCTGTTTAAACATTGTTCCCAGGACAAAAAGGGAAGATAAATCGCTTGAACTGAGCCCAAGAGAACAGTAAAACATGACAAGGGTACTAACCATCCCCTCTTCTATCAAGAACAAAAAATTTTTACAATTTAAGATTTGGTGGAAGAGTTTGAAGATTTGTTATATGGAGAACCATGTCTGCTATTACTTAGCTTTCAATCAATGCTAGCTGACTACAAAAGGAAGTTCTGAGTAACCATTTAAAGTATATTAGGCACTACCATCATAAAGCAGAAACAATTTTTTTTTAGCTTATTGGATATCAAATCCCATATTTGTACCAAAAAATCAGTTTACCGATCAGTGTATAGACAGTGTTAGGACACTAAAAAACATAAAAAAACAGGTAGATTTTCAATGGTACAACTTTATAAACACATCTAAAAAATGTCATCGTGCTACATGTCACCAGAATGTTACCTCCTCCCCTGAAAATTTTGACATACAGACATTTTGTACCTGGATTACACAAAACAGTAAACAAGGGAGAAACTTGTGCAGATATGATGAAAAAGGTGACATTTTGAGGATTGTACCCCTCAGTTAAGGCCACTGATGTCTTAGTGGTTTATACAGCACCATGTCAAACCTTGCGCTGCCTGGGGAACCAATAGCAAAACCTAATTTCTAGGCCTTCTGGGAGGGGAAAATGAACCTGCAGTAGCTGAGGTAAGTTGATCTTTTGTCAAGGAAACAAAATAAAAACATAGGATCAAAAAAATCTGGCTTTAAAAAAAAGAAAGGAATATTTGTGTATATATCTGGTCACATTATTCACTTTTCATTGATTTACATATATATTGTGTGTAATTTTCAAGCCTAAATGCTGCATGTAATGTTTTTTTTTTTCCGTCACAAACAATATGTATTTCGTTTAATTACAAATAGCTACCTACAGCTTCAAAGTAGTTTTATCTTTACAAGTATACTAATTGCATCTCTTACATCATAAATAACCTTACATAGTTGGATACCCAGACTTTTATAATAAATGTAGTATTTTTTGTATGGTTTTATATAATTTGTCTACAAAAGTACCCCCCACGTTATCATGTAAGCAATCCATTTCTGCACTATTAATTTTAAAACAAATAAATTGTACTCACTATGGTATTGTAAAATTAAAAGGGTTTTATGAATAGAAAAATTCAGAACCCCTTGTCATTGTAATATCAACCACTGGTGATGAGTTCCTCTTGTCACTGAGAATCATGCTGACTTCTTATTTGCTTAACACAAAACCAAATCAAAGATACAGGGGTCACAAAGCACCATAATATCTGAATGGCTGGGCTGCAATATCAGGCTTTATGTGTAGCAAGTCTGAAATTGCAGTTCTTTCCATAAAGTGTGGTTTTAGGTTCAATTCAGAAAACTCCTTTGAATTTTGTGTGTTTTCATGTGCCTGTATCTTGTCTTTGTCCAATTCTTGAAACTACATCTAGTTATGACATGAATGAATGATTGTCCCCTTTGTATGGCAGAACTGTATATGGGGAAATAGGAGGTAATTTACAAAATATAAAACACGTTAGGCAATTATGGATTTAAAGCTGACCTTGTATGCTAAACTGAGGCTCCCTGCACCCCCAACACAAATGATTTAAAAAGCAAAATGTAAACAGATCAACCGATAAGAAAAAAACATTCCAGGTGGAATGGGTGACATCACTGTGCTTCCCAGGATTGTAAGAGGGTATACTTGCAGGATGTCAAATTCCCAGTCTCCCCAGGACCAAAGTAAGTTAGCTTTTATTTTTTTTCGGGGGGGGGGGGGGGGGGGGGGGGGGGGGGGGCACAGGAGAATCTGTTTACAAATGGCCATTTTTTGTTTTTTGGAAGGAGCTTGCAAAAAAGTAGATCTTCAGTTTACCATGGAAGGTCTGCATAAAATAACAAGCAAGGAGACTTACCTAAAGAACGTTATTTGCAGAGTTGTTAATAAAGTTCAACATCACACATTCTGGAAATCAGTATGCCAGGACAGAACAGGATATATTTTACATTCTCTTATCGTTTCCCTAAAGATGAAGTTAAAGCTAAAGTTTATTCTACTTTGATTTTGTCTTTCATTGTTTCCCCCTTATCAACATGCTAATTATATTTCTTAAATAAATGTTTTTTGTTTTAAATACAATACCTTATTTTAGACCAGTGATGGCATCACTGGATCTGTGTGCTTCTCTATACAATGATGGCTGTTTGGAGGGGCCAGCAAGATGCTGTACATATCTTCTGAAAAGCATCACAGCATCCTGCCTCAGTACTTCTTTAAAGGACCCTCAGCCCTGATGCAAGCAGTTGTCTGGCTTGTGGGAGGAATTATGTCTTGATGAGTGGATGTTAGTCACACTGCCCACATGTGATTCCAAGTCTCCATGATAGAAAGAATTGAAATGCAATGAATGAAAGGGACATGCCAGGTGCTTTTAGTCTGTGGAGGAAAGGATTAGAGGAAGCTGGATATCCTCCATGAAATGTTACAAGCTTTAACTGACTTGGTGCAGCTTCTAATGCATACTGCGGATTCTTTACTAAAGCTGGAGAGTGCAAAATCAGGTGCACTTCTGCAAAGAAATCAGCTTCCAGGTTTTATTGCCAAAGCTTAATTGAACAAGCTAAGGTTAGAATTGGCCAAAATGAAGAGCTGCACCAGGTTCTGAGTGCACCAGCCTTAGGCTAGGTTCACACCTATAAAGTTTGCGTTTGATCCATTTATGCAGTGCGTTTTTGCTGCGTTCTTTATGCATTTTTGTTCTTGTTGCTAGGCAGATTAAAGTGCAAAACGCTTCAAAAACGCACTACATGCTTTTCTGCAGTGTCTCCATTGAAGTCTATAGAACCAAAAACGTAAACGTTTAAAAAAGTCCCTGACCCTTTCCAAAAAACACACCGGGTGAAAACGCAGAGATGTGAACGTGTCCCATAGGAAATCATGTTAAATGGACTGTAGTGTATTTCTGCAAAACGCAGCGGAAAACGCATAAGTGTGAACCTAGACTGTAAATTTCACCCCCACTGTGACAAACTGACTTTAAAAGTTCAGTTTTAAAGTGATATTAAAGACAATGTTTTTTTTTTGCTCTTTGCCGTGGTTTTGTGCTCCTGGCTCCCAAGCCACTACTCT